TTTATTCGTCAGCACACAGCAAAAGATGAGTGAACAACAACTCTGTAGTAAAATAGAAATCACAAACTTTAAAAACATAAACATAATAAAAAGTATAAAATCTATAGCTTAACACATGTTTGTATGAACTATTAAAGCAGGGACGCTCTCTCGGTGTCTGTGCCTTCACACCTGGTGGCCTTTTCTAATGTGTACTTTCATGTGTGTTGTGAGGTAATGTCCCCGTGCGAATGCCTTCTTACAGACTGAACAGCTGAAAGGCTTCTCCCCAGTGTGAATTCTCATGTGCCGCTTGAGGGTGCTCCGATCGAAAAACGTATTATCGCAAATATCGCAAATGTACGCCTTTCTCCTGTGTTTATCACGGTTCGTGGAGGCTCTTCTGCGTTTTGGGTTTTCGCAAACTTCACGCGCCTCTTCGTCGTGCGTCTGCATGTGAGAATAAAGAGAAGCTCTATCGCAAAACGCCTCCCTACAGACCGAACAGCTGAAAGACTTACTCTTGTCGTGAGTTTTCATGTGCCGATTGAGAGTGCTGCGATCGTAAAAGGGATTATTGCAGATGTTACAGGTGAAAACATTTCCCCCCATGTGAGACTTCATGTGTGCTTCGAGGTAAGCTATACGAGGAAAGGTTCTGTCGCAGAGTGAACAGCTGAAAGGCTGGCGGCCCCCTGTGTTTGAATGAAGACTCATGTGGGCCTCCAGCTGTTCCTCAGTAGAAAACTCTTTCGTACAGACAGAACAGTTCATGGGTTTACCCTGAGCCTGCTCCCGTGTGTGCGTCTGCATGTGAAGAGTAAGGTACGCTTTGTGGAAAAACGCTCTGTCACAGACCGAACAGCTGAACTGGAAATCAGCCGTGTGCGTCCCCAAGTGTCTTTGGAGAACGCCCTGTCTGTTAAAGGATTTATTACAGATGGTACAAGTAAAACAACGATCCTTTTTGTCTGTCGTGGACGCAACGACGGGAGCTCTCCGTTTAGCCACGTCTTTGTCACCAACGGAACTGCTCAATGTTTTATCTCCCGTTTGGGCCGCAGGAGCACCCTCTTTAGGAAACGCATCATCACAGACAGAACTACTGAACGGTGTCGCTCCGGGGTGTTTTTCCATGTGTTCGAGGAGAGTGCCCTCCCGGGAAAAGGCTTTGTCACAGACAGAGCAGCGGAACGGTTTCTCATCTGTGCGTGTTCGAGTTCTTGTGTCTATTGCTCGCCGACATTCTTCCTCAAACGTCTCAAAGGGCGTGAAACTGAAGGGTTTTTTGTCTGAGTGTGTTCTTGTGTCTATTTCAAGCGGATCTTCTTCCTTCACTTTCTCAATAAGTGAACAACTGAAGGGTTTTTCATCAATGTCGGTGCTTGTGTCGTCCTCAAATGTCTCATGCAGTGTGCGGTTGTTGGGCTTCTCCTCTGTGTGTGTCCTCATGTGTGCAGTGAGATGTGGGCGTCGAGCAAAGGCCTTCTCACAGACTGAACAGCAGAGTGCTTTTTGGTCTGCGTGTGCTCTGACGTGTCTTGAATAAGAAGTCTGCCTATTGAACGTTTTCCCACAGACTGAGCAGCTGTAAGGCTTTTCTCCTGTGTGCGCTCTCATGTGGACGTTCAGATGACTGCGATGGGAAAAGTCCTTATTGCAAACTGAGCAGCTGAAAGGTTTCTCTCCTGTGTGTGTCCTCATGTGTATGTTTAGATAACACAGATGAGAGAACGTCTTGTGACAGACTGAACAGCTGTAAGGTTTGTCTCTGGTTTTAATTCCCTTTCGAGCAGCTGGGTGTCTGTCTCCGTCCTCGGTGTGTGAAGACCGAGGCTGAAAAGGCAGATCGTCAACATCCTGGTAGTCAGAGGAGTGCTCCGTGTCGCCCTCCGCCTCTGAGCTCGTCTCCTCTCCCTGTGTTTCCTCTCTGTGTCGGAGCTGGGTCGACTCTTCGGTCTTCACACAGACAAGACTAAAACTAAAATCAGAAAAAGAAACTTTGCACTGATTTGAATCTGAGAATAATCCTTAAATCTGCTGTGATTGTGAAAGAGACTCGCAGCGGCTCTTCCTCATGTTTGATCGATCATTGTTCGAAAACTACCATGTTGTGAAAGAGAGTTCATGTTTAACCAGTGTCAACACGAGTTATTCTAGGGACATTTACACCCAATGACTTATACAAAACAGCATTAAAAATTACTCATATGACTAAATTATTTTTAGCTGGAAGCACAAAATCCATACCCTGGCCTTATCCATCCATACACTCCGCTCAATCATCCTTTCACTGCATGTAACGTCTGGGTTTGGTGCCTGTGTTAGAGATTACAATCGGTTGAATATCGACCGACCAATCAGAGAGCACGGGAGGCGGGTGTTGTAGTTAGATGTGGGTGACGTCAAGAGTCTGCGTCAAACGGGAAGGTTGTAGTTTGGTGAATAATGCGATAGTAAAGTATTCCGGTCTGGTTCTATCAAGAAATTGAAGCAGGAGCAAGAGGAATGTTTAGCAAATGTATTCGCTGGAAAAAATTATGGCGCTACTCCCCACGGGCTCCGTTAGCGGCAAAGGAGATGGCTAAAGCTAGGCTAAATGCTAAATGCTAACGACTCACTCGGGCTCATTACATACGGTAAACTCAGATCCAATGGTTTCAATCTGCAAAAGGAGTTAGCCCCTCCCACCTGTTCACGGAGTCAATGGAGCAGATCCCGACCTTTGTATGAAATGTCATTTGTACTATGGTGTGGTACGACCAGTGGGGGCGGGTCCCGGCTCAAAAGTGGCCAAAATGACGTGCGCTGACATGCTGCAATACCACCCCGGGCCTGTGGGGGTGGACCCAGAAGTAGAATTAGCCAATGCTAACATATAGCATTAGCAGACCTCTCGAAAACGTCTTTACAGGATGGTCCAAAAGTTGTCTCTTGGCCCAAAGCTCCGTTCCACATGTGTGTCAATGCTGACGGGAGTGTTTTGGTCCACTCTAGTTTAGTCGCTGTGGACTTTAGAAGTCTCTCGTTTAAATGAATGGGGCTCGTGCAGCTGACACATGCACAGATGTGTTTTTTCACATTTTCCAGATCCCGCGGCCATTTTGAATCACTCCATGAGAGCTCAATTTTTGGCCCATTAGTTAGAACGACGGAGATAGGCGTGACTCTGTCCGTTAATATATACAGTCTATGGGTACGACCAGGCTACAAAACACATTTTTAAGACCATAAATGATCAAACATGAATTTATTGTATTCAAAATTTTGATATTTGATCAAAAAATTGATATTTTGAGTCTATTTTATCCAGGATTTCTTTTCCTTCGACTCTAATTAAATGAAAGTGGGCGAGACTCACATCTGCAGCTCCTCTTCCTCCTGTTTGAGGCCTGGTTCTTCGTCTTCCTCCTGTTTGAGGCCTGGTTCTTCGTCTTCCTCCTGTTTGAGGCCTGGTTCTTCGTCTTCCTCTTTCATTTCCTTCTTCAGAGCAGAACTCACAGAGACGACACCTGCACAGTCCATAACAGTCACATCAGAAGGTCTGAGCAGATACAAGGTTTGGACCAATCAGAAGCCATTATTCTGTGAATGTGAAGACAATGGCCTTCCTCACCATACTATCATTATTTGCATGTTGTCCTCATTAAAACTATGACATGTTTGGGTGGTTTTAGTTCAAAGATACTGTTTACAGATACTTCTATGCAATATTGAAGATCAGATCACATTTGATGGCGATTTTTTGCAGAAATTTGAAAAATTCCAAGCGCTTCAGATACTTTTTCAGGCCACTGTATATTTGACCATAGTATTGTGTATATTTAGTGCTATGTCCTCAAAAATTGCATATAAACGCCTGTACTTGATTGAGATTATAACAGGGAGCACAGGTACGTAAACTTTGAGAACAATGGTACTTGTGCAGGTTAGCATTAAGTTAAAAGTAGTTTGTTGTTAGCATGTAGCTTCTGCTCATTCAGACACAGCAAACAGAGCAACATTCTGAGCCTCTGATGTCTATATGCATGTTATCCACTGGTTTAAATCATTAAAAAAACACATGATTATTGTAGCATGGCGTGTTCGGAGGCTAATGCAAACTCCAGACGACCCAGAGGAGCCAACACCGCCTCAAGACCCGGAGATCTGTCGCATGAAATAATGATTAATATTAGTTTAATGGAGAGATGCAAACACAGAGTGATCTCACATGCACACAGCAAACAACCAGACCATGTGCAAACCTCACCTCTGCGAAGAAAAGCCATGGCGCTGTCCCCCAAGGGCCCCTCGTCCTGCAGCTCCTTCTCCCCCAGGACCCACGCCTGCTGCAGAGTATACCCCCACCCACACACATACATACACACACACACGCGCGCACACGCACGCACACACACACACACCCACCCACACACACACACGCACGCACGCACGCACACACACACACGCACACACATACATACATACACCCACACACACACGCACGCGCACACACCCACACCCACACACACATACACACACACGCTCACACGCACGCACACGCACGCACACACACACATACATACACACACACACGCGCGCACACGCACGCACACACACACACACACCCACCCACACACACGCACGCACGCACACACACTTACACACACACACACACGCACACACATACATACATACACCCACACGCACGCGCACACACCCACACACACACACCCAGACACACATACACACACACGCTCACACGCACGCACACGCACGCACACACACACATACATACACACGCACGCGCACACACACACGCACGCACGCACACACCCACACACCCCCCACTGTGCTGGGATCGGGGAATGGTCTTGTGGCTGTGTGAGTTTCTGCCAACTCTGTGTGTTTTTGTGCAGCCCTGAATCACAACAACAGTGGTTTGTGAGGGATTTATAAAGTTACCGAGGTGAAGTTGGCCGAACGTTTGATATTCGCAAGGGACCGTCTGCAAATTGCAAGAGGTCAAAACGACTAATAAAGACTAAAAATCAACAAAGATATTTTTCCAAGAATTGATGGGTTGTAGTAGGTCCCATTCAATGATAGCT